TTTTTGTATTTTTAGTAGAGACGGGGTTTCACCATGTTGACCAGGATGGTCTGGATCTCTTGACCTCGTGATCCACCCACCTCGGCCTCACAAAGTGCTGGGATTACAGGCTTGAGCCACCGTGCCCGGCCAGAAACACAGATTTTTCTTCAAAAAAATACTACTGTAAAATGGAATGAATGATAAAATATTGTTTCCAAATGTCAGTGTTCAACTTATAAGCACCTTGATAATTGACATTTGTAAAAGCTTTAGAAATACTATAAAAGTGTCATCTGAATAAGTTTCAATAAAATTATATTGTGAACTCCAAGACATTTTTTTGTATTCTTTTTTGTATTTGTTATAAAATCATATTCTCTAGAATATTGGAGTAGGGTGAATGGATAGGAAAATAAACACAGATGGAATTTTATAATTATTTTTAAAGAACTTTTGGTTTTCTTAGTTAATTTTCACCTATAATACTGAGTACAGGATGAGAATTTATGTGTAATATTTGAATTATAGATGCATAGGATAAAATGACTAATTCCTTAAACTAATTATCACTTTAAAAAGACTAGGTAATTAAGTAGTTGAAATATAGAATGTCATTAGTTAACTAAATTACCACTCTATTACAGTAAATACAAATAACATGTTTACAATGTAAATGATGGTAAATAAAAACTAAAAAAAACTTCCTTAAAAGTGTTTTTTAACCAAACTTCACAAGGATGGATAGAATTAACACTATATATTCTCCACAGAAAAAGAATTAATGCATACTAAATTGAGAAAAGATACACAGAAGTGCCATTTTTAAAAATTAAAAATGGTAAAGATAATAGATCAAAAGTGCCACATATTTATCAGTGTTGTAAAGAAAAAACCAATTCAAAAACGTGCGTTACTAACTGGCTGTGTGATTTTTTTAGGCAAGTTACTTAACCTTTCTGTGACTCTGTTCTTGTGTAAAATGGAGATAATAGACTTACAGAACTGTAACGAGGATTAGATAAGTTAACATTTCTAAAGCATTTGGAATACACATAGTAAGTACTATATGAGTGCTTGTTAAATAAGCAGAATAAAAGTATGTATCCAGAGGAAAACTACTTGGCAAACATACTTAATCAGAATGTAGCAAGAAACCAGGATTATTAGCATAAGCTTCTGAACAACACAAGTGTTGCTAAATTTACATATTAAAAGTTCAGGGTGGCTTATGTCTGTAATCCTACCACTTTGAGAGGCTGAGATGGGCGGATCAGTAGAGGTCAGGAGTTCGAAATCAGCCTGGCCAATATGGTGAAACCCTGCCTCTACCAAAAAATACAAAAAGTAGCCGTGCGTGGTGGTGTGTGCCTGTAGTCATAGCTACTTGAGAGGCTGAGGCAGAGGTTGCTGTGAGCCAAGATCTTGCTACTGCACTCGGGCGTGGCCAACAAGAGCAAAACTCCATCTTAAAAGAAAAATTTTTAGGCATTCATAGCACTATGTTGCCTGGGTGTTTATTTTCCTAATTTAAACTTATCACTTGCTTAAAAATTCTTTGATAGTATCCACAGGCTTTAGGATGAAACCCAAATTCTTAAAACCTGGGTCCTTATTGTATTTCTTTAAAAAAATTGAGAAAAAAATTCATATAACAAAGTTCATTTTTTTTGTTTGTTTTGCTTTGAAACAGCGTCTCATTCTGTGGCCCAGGCTGGAATGCAGTGGCACAATTTCGGCTCACTGCAACTTCCGCCTCCCAGGTTCAAGTGATTCGCATGCCTCAGCCACCTGAGTAGCTGGGATTACAGGAGCACACCACCATGCCAGGCTAATTTTTTGTATTTTTAGTAGAGATGGGGTTTTGTTATGTTCAAAAGGGTGGTCTTGAACTCCTGATCTCAAGTAATCTGCCTGCCTCGGCCTCCCAAAGTACTGGGATTACAGGTATGAGCTGCCGCACCCAGCTAAATTTAGTTCATCATTTTAACCATTTTAAAGTGTGCAATTCAGTAGTTTTTAGTATATTTACAGTGTGGTGCAACTATCATCATTATCACATTCTAGAACATTTTTGTCCCCCAAAGAAACTTCTTACCCATTAAGTAGTCATTCTCTTTTATGCTACTAAGACATACCTGAAAAAAACAAAAAAAGAAAAAGTGTAAAGTAGTCATTCTCCATTTGTCCTTCCCTCAGGTGCTGGCAACCATTTATTAACTTTCTGCTTCTATGGATTTGCATGATTCTAGACATTTCATGTAAAAGGAATTCTGCAATATACAGTATAGTCTTTAGAGACTAGCTTGTTTCACTTAGCATAATATTTTCTTTTCTTTTTTTTTTTTTTTTT